TCCCCCTCCATTGCAGGTAAAACCCTGGTCATCAGGTGTCTGGTACTCTTGATATTGTACATGGCACAGGTCTGGCCCATTCCCTGAACCTGCGCCACTGCAGTCACCCAAACCGCCATCTGCTTCATCTGGAGGTCAAAGATGGACCATGTCTACATGGGCACCATGTAGAAAGATGGGGGGGGAGGTGGTGGGCATACCCAATGCCACCCTCATCCTAAGCAGCTGGATTCTGTATCACCTGTTCGTCAAAGGAAAGATTTGCAAAGGAAACCACCTCTGACAACAAGTCCTCGAGACCCTGTGGGAAAAGGAGAGGATTGATCTCTTCAGATTCTGAGCGAACTGTCAGTCATTTGGCAGAATGTCTCATTCCCAGAACTTCTCAACATGCACCAAGACATATCTTGGTTGATGGTGAGAATGGCACTACCCATGAGATCCATCATGTGCACCTGGACTCTGTCCACCACTGCATGCTGCCTTCGAAACAGTTGCAGGGGGATGAGACTTGCACATCTCCTCCTGGAATGTGTCTTTGCATCTTTCTCCAGACATTCTTTGCAATGTTTTTTGTCGAGGCTAGTGCCAAGAAGCTTCATGATGCAGGACTCTGTGGACTGTTTCCCAGGATGCACACTGAGACAAACTTTGACCTTGCCTAGAAGACCATCAACTCAGTAAAATTCTGTCTTTGGTCTATCCAAAAATTGTTGGTCTTCAATGTAAAAAGAATTGTGACTGCGTTTTGCAGACTGGCACATTCCAAGGTCCAGGACTACATGCTGAGGGACGCAGTAAAGCTTTGGGCAGCTGCTGCCAAGGCTGAATGGTGAAAGACTACTGTCAAAGGTCTTTCTATCAAAGTATAATTGGGGTCCGTCAGTTCTCAGATTTCTTCCACATGCATGCGCGCACACACCCCTCCAACCCACCCACCCGGTTCTCTCAAAGCATTCAATTAGTTCCCTGCATGAGTGGAAAATGCCTGTTTTTGCAACTGCAGGGCATATTTGAGGGATGTTAAAATCCAGTGTGTTGTTTAGCTTATTTCTCTGCAAAACTCTGTAGAACTATTTTAGGACCTTTTGCATGGACCTAATTTTTTAAGAACAAAGTATATTTTTGCAATAAAAGACAGTAATATTGGATACTTAAAAGAACCAGCTTGTTTTCTGTAGTTTGTTAGATTTACGGAATTTGCCAAAGGAACATTGCTGAGCACACAATATACCTGTGGGAGAGAATGCACTGTTTCAGTAAAGATACCTTGGTTAAGATACTATTAAGTGCTTGAATGATATACATTATATTGCTTTTTGTGCAGTCACTTCCAGGGTCACTTCATCCAGTGTTGTTACATGGACGCATTGATGTTTAATGAAATCCTTATTTAGCAGGCTATTCTGCGTATCTTCCTCATTGATTTCCATTCTTTTAGATGGTGACATGTCATGTCGAGCTAATATCCTGGTTACAGAGTTGTTTGACACCGAACTTATTGGGGAGGGAGCACTGCCGAGTTACGAACATGCTCACAAATATCTTGTTGAGGTGAGTTAGTGCTTGAGTGAATGGAGGCTTGATGCGCTGTGACTCCTGGCACATTTTACAGGCTCTCCAATCAAGAAATACATTTAACAGGGTTGATCTGTAAATATCTGTTGTCAATTACATAGTTTTATCAGAAACTGTAAGAGAGTACAATTAGAACATTTAAAAGGCATCTGGATGGGTACATGAATAGGAAGGATTTAGAGGGATAGGGGCCAAATGATGACAAATGGGACTGGATCAGTTTCGGATATCTGGTTGACGCGGATAAGTTGGACTGAAGGATCTGTTTCCTTGCTTTATAACTTTATAATTATACAATCAATTCTAAAAAGAAGGATATCCTGGCAAGTCTAAGCACTCTGTTTCCTTCTGTCCATCCTAAACATGTGTTGACAGGAAGAATGCGAGGCAGTTCCACACAGAGCCACAATTTATGCACAGGTGGTGGAGTCAAAGCGCATGTGGGCCTGGAATAAAGTGTTGCCGATTAACATCCGACTGGAGGGAAGCAAGGGCGAGAGGGTCATTGTGCCGCCAAGGGACATGCAGGTGTGTGCTGGGTCTCCCTGTGTCTATGATATCCAGCTGAACCAGGTGAACAGGAACCACTTCACAACCCTCACAGAGGTCATAGAGATATTCAGGTACAGTATTGTGTCTTTAGTGGGAACATGAGTACTTGTGGATAGATAACAAGAATATTTAAAAAAGGAGCAGGAGTACACAGTTTGGCTCCTCGAGCCTGTTCTGCTGTTTGTGATTCATCTACTTCAAGTGCACTCCTCATGTTCTTGATCCAAAATCCATGATCTCAGTCTTCAAATGTATTCAATGTTGGAACATCCACAACAGCCAAGATTAGATAATTCCAAATCCTCTGTGGTCAATAATTCCAGAGGTGCATTACACCCTGAGGTATATAAATTCCAAAGATGCCTAATCCTCTGGGATAGAAGATCCCAAAGATTCACAATACGCTGGGACAGACACAGTTCTAAAACCATTCACAATCCTCTGGAAGAGACAGTTCGAAAGAATCACAGATCTCTGAGTGAAGAAATTTCATCTTAGTCCTAAATGATTGTTCCCTGTGCTTCTGTGTTGATTCCCCAGAAAAGGAAATCAATTTTGAAGTATCTACCCTGTCAAGCTCCTTCAGAATCTTGCACATTTCAAATTGATCATCTCTCATTCTTCCAAACTCTTGATAGTGGAAACTCAGTTTAGACAGCCTCTCCACGTAGGACAATCCTCTGATCTCGGGAGCCAATCCAGTGAACTTTCCCTGGAATACATCCATTGCAATGACATTATTTCTTAATTATGGGACTGAAACTAACTTGCTGTGCTGGTGCAGTCTCACCAAATCTTAATGTAGTCAAAGTAGAAGTTCTTATTGCTTTCATACTGCAGTTCCCTTATAACCTACACCAACATGCAATTTGCCTTCTCAATTGCTTACTGTGTCTACAAGCTAACTTAGTTCTTCTTAATCCATTCAGGATATATGGATTTTATTGTCCATTCCCTATTATCTTAAGGTGTTCCTTGAATGAGCATGCTCACCATTTAAAAGCTTCACATTTTAAAAAATGTTCTTGTTTTCTATTCTAATACCCAAAGTGAATAACCTAACGAGGAAGAATTTTTTTCCCTTGGAGGTTGAGAATGGAACTCTCTTTCCCAGAGAGTGGTGGAAGCATGGTCATGGAATACTTTTAAGGCAGAGGTAACAGATTCTTGATTAGTAAGGGAGTCCCTTGTTATCAGAAGTAGCTGGAGATGTAGAATTGAGGCTACAATTAGATCAGCGATGATCTTATTGAATACAGAGCAAACTAGAGGAGCTGATTGGCCTACTTCTGCTCCTAATTCATATGTTTGTTCATTTCCTTTCATTTTATTTAATCTGCTATCTTGTTGCCATTTCACCTAATCTGTCCATATCTCTGTAGTTGCCTTGCAGCTTACAATTCTACTTTACTTTGTATCTTTGAAAACCTAACATATGTTGCTCATGGTCAAGTATTATAAATCATTAATGTAAATTGTAGTTAGCTGAGGCTTAAGTGCTGATCTTGCAGCAGTCTAATTACAGCCTGCCATCTTGAAAATGCCCTGCTTTTCCTACTCTTTGCTTCCTGTCCATTAACCGTTCCTCTGTCCAGCTAATATATCACCTCCCAACTCCATGAGCTCTTATCTGGAAGATAAACCTTTTTGTGTGGTGGCTTAATTAATCTTTTAAGAAAACTTAAAAATTCTATATCCACTGGTTCACCCTTTATCTTAAAAGTTACATCCTGAAGAATCTTAATAAGTTTTTTCAAAAAACTCTCCCGTTTGTAAATCCATGTTGACGTTGATTTTCTAAGTGCATTACAATTTCATGAGTAATTGATTTGTGGCATCTTCCTGACGACTGTCAGGCTAACAGGCCTGTAGTTCCATGTTTTCTTTCTCATTCCTTTCTTGAATAATGGTGTTACATTTGCTAACTTTTACTCCGTGAGGACCATTCCAGAATCTTGGATATTTTGCAAAATCAACCAATGCATCCACTATTGTTGCAGTCACCTGTTTTGGAATGTCTGATTGGATAGGGATTGAGAAATCAAAATTCCCATCAACTATCCAGTGAACTGCCTGTTTGGAACTTCATTTGTATTGCTGAGCTGTTGATGCTTAGAAATGGAAGACTTTCCATTTCTGCATTTAATATTTGCATATAATTCTTTGACATTAGGCAGATAACTCCAAAGTAATCTGTGCTTGACCCAAGAGCGTATTAAATAGAGGTTGAGAGAGTGGAGAGTTGGTGAGTTGTGTAGGTACTTTGATGTTGCCTCACCTCATCAGAGAAAGTAAATGGAGCCTTGATTTTGTGTATCTTGACTTTCTGCAGAGTGGATTTCAGTAAAGCAGTGAGCAGTTTGCCAGCCCGACACACTGTGCAGGCCAAAGCAACTACCAGTGGACAGGCTCAGGTTGTACTGTCCTGGTGGGACATAGACATGGACCCTGAAGGGAGTATCAAATGTACCATGGCACCATATTGGGTTCATCCAACTCCAAAGAATATGCAGGTGAGACAGCTTCCTGGTTCCTGTTCCGTAAAATGGGCCACTGATAACTAGACAGGTCTGGTTCTCCTTTGCCTTGGGGGACTTCTGTAAATCTGGGGGAAAGGTCATTTAAAAAAAGAAATAGTACAAATTTCAAAGAATGTAGTTTGAGAAATACAAACCACTAGGAAATAGCGAAAATTGTTTTTTGTCAACAGTAAGGAGAATGGAGGGGTTGAGCCATTGTCACTAAATGACTAAATTGTAACCCACTGTAACAACTCATGGCAAGAGGGTATTTTAAAATATATTTCATTTTGTAAGTTGGATGCAAGCTAACAATATTTTTTGTTACCCTGTTATCTTCCATTTTTGACTTGCGGTGACCGAAGAGAATTTATAAAAGCAGTTTTAACTGTTTTGTGAGCTTTTACTCTTCTACATATGTCTTTTCTATGTGCGGCTACAAGTGTTGATATGTCACTTTACCACATAAATAAGTTTTTGTGCCCGCATTTTCATTGTCTGGTCTCTGAGATCAAGGCTGGTTTGAAACTGTTACTTTTGTGTTGACAGTGGCGGGATCACTGGATGCAGTGTGTGTACTTCTTACCAAAGGAATTATTGGTTAATGAAGGGGAATGCCTATATATTTCAGCAACGCATGATGATTACTCTGTGTGGTATAGCCTGGAATGCAGCAGGTACGGAATGTGAAATAAGTGCTAAAGGTACAGAAATTCTTGATTACGCCAGGAAGAGTTAAGGTGCACTTGGGATTATGGTCCCGATACTTTTCTCCCTAAACACATCTGCTAACTTGGTGCAGTTATACAGGAACACAGATAAACACATGAAAAGAGCAGGAGTAGACCTTATGAATGCTGAACCTGCCTTGCCATTCATTATGATCTTGGCTGATCTTGGATTTAATTTTCCCAGCAACTCCTCATTATCGCCGATTACCTGTGAGATGTTTATCTCATCCTTAATAATACTCAATGATGAAGCATCCACAGCCCTATGAGAATAGGATTACAAAGATTGACAGCGTTTTGAGTAAAGAAGCTTCTTATTTTAATTCTAAATAATCAGCCCCTTATCCTGAAGCTGTGCCCCTCTGTTTTAGATTTCTTAGCCAGCAGAATTCAGCATGCCCTGTCAAGTTCCTATACAAACTAGTTTGTTCAATGCGATCACTTCTCATTCAACTAAACTCCAAAGAACATAGATCCAATTTACACAGCTAATTATCATAGAACAACCCTCTCATCCCAGAGACCAATCCAGTGAACCATCACTGTGCTGCTTTTAATGCAAGTGTATCCTTCTTTAAACATCGAGACTAAAATTGCGCATTAGTATTTCGGGTATGGTCTCGCCAAAGCCCTGTACAATTGTAGCAAGACTACTTTATGCCTCTACTCTGCTCTCCATTCAATAAAACATGGCATTCGCCTTTATAATTGCTTGTTATACTTGCATGCTATCTTTTGAGTACGTTCAAGTCTCTCACAGTATTTAGAAATGTCATACTTTTTAAAAAAAATTCTGCTTTTCAATTCTTGGTATGAAAATGAATAACCTCATGTTTTCCCACATTTTACACCATTTTCCATAATTTTGCATGCATGCATACTAAATCTGTCTATATTGATTTGCAGCCTGTGTCCTTCTCATGGCTCACATTTCCACCTAATTTTGTATTATAAATAAAGTTAGATACTGTAAGTGTAAGGCATGAATATAGATTGTAAATTGCTGAAGTTCAAGTACTGATCCTTGTAGCTCTCCACGACTAACAGCCTGCTGACTTGAAAATGCCTCATTTTTGTCCACTTGGCTAATTTCGTTAACCAGTCCTCTATCCAGGTTAATATATTACCCGACTTCTGTGAACCCTTGTCTTGAGTAATACCTTGTGTAATGCTTTATTGATTGCTTTTTGGAAATCAGGCTGTGTTGCATCTACTTTCTTCCTTTGTCTACATATTAGTTACAATTATGAAACAAAAGTTTTATACTTGTCACATAGAAGCATGGAAGACAGGAGCAGGAGGTGGCCATTTGGCCCTTCGAGCCTGCTCCATGGCTGATCGTCCAACTCAATAGCCTAATCCTGCTTTCTCCCCATAATCTTTGATCCCATTTGTCCCAAGTGCTGTATCTAGCTGCCTCTTGAATGTATTCAATGTTTTGGCATCATCTATTTCTTGTGGTCATGAAATCCACAGGCTCACCATTCTTCTGGTGAAAAAATGTCTCCTCATCTCCATCCTAAATGGTCTATCCCGAATTCTGTCTGTGACTGCTGGTTCTGGATATGTCCACCATTGGAAATATCTACTCTGTCTAGTCCTGTTAGAATTTTATAAGGCTGTATGAGATCCTCCCCTCATTCGTCTGAACTCCAGTGAAAACAATCCTAACCTAGTCAATCTCTCCTCAAATGTCAGTCCTGCCATCCCCGGAATCAGCCTGGTAAACCTTTGCTGCACTCCCTCAAGAGCAAGAGTATCCTTCCTCAAAAGGAGACCAAAACTTCACACGATATTATAGGTGTGGCCTCACCAAGACCCTGTATAACTGCAACATCACATCCCTGCTCCTGTACTCGAAACTTCTCGCAATGAAGGCCAACATACCATTTGCCTTCTTTACTGCCTGCTGCACCCGCATGCTTACCTTCAGCGAATGGTGCACAAGGACACCCAGTTCCCACTGCATACTCCCTTCTCCCAATTTACGCCATTCAGGTAGTAATCTGCCTTCTTATTTTTGCTACCAAAGTGAATAACCTCACATTTATCAAAATTATACTGCATCTGCCATTGATTTGTCCACACACTGAATCTGTTCAGATCATGCTGAAGGATGTCTGCATCCTTGTCGCAGTTCACCCTCCCACCCAACTTGGTATCGTTTGCAAACTTTGAGATGTTACATTTTGTTCCTTCTTCCAAATCATTAATATGTATTGTAAATAGCTGGGGTCCCAGCACCGATCCCTGTGGCACCCCACTAGTCACTGCCTGCCAATTTGAAAAGGACTCATTAATTCCTACTCTTTGTTTCCTTTCTGCCAACCAGTTTTCTATCCATCTCAAAACATTTCCCCAAATGCCACGTGCTTTATTCTTGCACAATAATCTCTTACGCAGGACTTCGTCAAACGCTTTCTGAAAGTGCAAATATACCACATCAACTGGCTCCCTCTTGTCTACTCGACTAGTAATATCTTTGTAGAATCCCAACAGATTTCTCAAGCATGATTTCCCCTTCAAAATCCATGCTGACTCTGTCTGCACTGCTTTCTAAATGCTCCGCTATAAAAGCCCTTGATAATGGAGTCGAGAATTTTCCCCACTACCGATGTTAAGCTTACTGGTCTATAATTCCCTGTTTTCTCTCTACCTTCCTTTTTGAATATTGGAGTGACATTAGCTACCCTCCAATCTGTGGGGACTGTTCCAGAGTCTATAGACTCCTGGAAGATGACAACCAATGCATCCACTATTTCTAGAGCCACTTCCTTAAGTACTCTGGGATGTTGATTATCAGGCCTTGGGGATTTATCCGCCTTCAGTCGGATCAATTTTCCCAGCACCATTTCTCATTAAATACTAATATTGATCTCTCACACTTCTTCCCTCTCTCAAATCTTGCATTCTCCAACATTTCTGGTATCTGATTTGTGTCCTCTTTTGTGAAGACAGAACCAAAGTATGTATTCAGTTGCTCAGCTTTTTCTTTGTCTCCTATTATACATTCCCCACTTTCTGTCAGTAGGGGACCTATATTTGTCTTCACCAATCTCTTTCTCTACACGTACCTATAGAAACTTTTAGTGTCAGTCTTTATGTTCCCTGCAAACTTGCTTTTGTACTGTATTTTCCCCTTCTTAATCAATCCCTTGGCCCTTTTTGCTGAATTCTCTGACTGCTGCCAATCCTCAGACATATTATTTTTCTTGGCCTATATGTATACTTCTTCCTTGGATCAGATACTATCTCTTAATTTCCTTTGTAAGCCATAGATTGGCTCTCTTACCCGTTTTGCTTTTGTGCCACACAGGAATAAACAGTTGTTGCAGTTCTCCCATGCCTTCCTTGAATGTTTGTTATTGCCTATCCACTGTCATCCCTTTAAGTAACTCTCCCCAATTTATCAAGGCCAAATCATGCCTCATATCTTCAAAGTTTCCTTTATTAAGATTCAGCACTCTAGTCTACAAATCAACTACCTCACTCTGCATCTTGATTAAAAAAAATTCTATCATGTTATGGTCGCTCTTCCCCAAGGGGTCTCGCACAGCTAGATTGGCAATGATTCCCTTCTCATTACACAGTACCCAGTCTAAGATGGCCTGCTCCCTGGTTGGTTTCTCCCCATATCGGTCAAGAAAACCATCCTGTGTACATTCCAGGAATTCCTCCTGTATGGCATTGTGGCTAATTTGATTTGCCCAATCGATGTGCAGATTAAAATCACCCATGATCAGTGATATTCCCTTATTCCATGCATCTTGATTTCCTGTTTAATGCCATTCCCAATTTCACTGCAGTTTGGGAGTCTGAATATGACACCCACAAATGTTTTTTGCTCCTTGCTATTTCTCAACTCTACCAATACAGACTCCACATTGTCAGAGCTAATATCCTTTCTCACTATGTTAATTTCCTCTTTAACCAGCAATGCTACTCCACTACCTTTTCCTTTTTCCTTGTCCTTCCTAAATACTGAATACCCTGGGACATCCAGTTCCCATCCCTGGTCACCCTGCAGCCATGTCTCCGTAATCCCAATGATATTGCACTTGTTTACACCTACCTGCATGATTAGTTCATCCATTTTATTGCAAAAGTTCTGTGCATTAGACACAAAGCTTTTAAGCTTGTCTTTTTAACATGGATTGTGTCACTCTTATTTTTCTCAATAGCCCTGTTTGAATTTTGTCCTTGGTTTCTCAGCCTATCTCTTATTCACTTTTCTACCTTTTTGTTTTTGTCCTTGCTCCCTCCTTCTCTGAGTCCTTACACTGGGGGATGAGAACCTAAGTGTTAGTTTAAACTGTTCCCAACGCTCTAGCAAACACACTCCCTACAATGTCAGACAAATAGAACCGTGTTGATTTTCTCTGATTTTATGATTTTGCGTGTATTGGTAAGATTTCCTTAATAGATTCCAGCACTTGCTTGATGTCTGGCTAATTGCTCCATAAATCGCTATTTTTTTCTCTTCCTCCTTTTTCTTGAATATTGGTGGTTTGTTTGCTAACTTCTATTCTGCTGGAGCAGTGGAGCCTATCCCATTGATATTCAGACTGAGTTGAAGTGTGAACACTTGTCTGTGTATATGCAATGTCTTGTGTGTAAACAATATACTATCCATATCTTTATTGTGCATGAACAGTGTGCTCTCTTATCTTACATTTTGCGAACACACTATATTCTATCTGGTTGTCCTCACTTATGTATTTCTTATCTTCTCTGGAAATGTTACATGATTGGGAAAAACTAGGAGTGGAAAAACTAAGAAGTAATGTTTCTGTTCATCTGTTTTTTAATTTTGTGCTTTGCAGTGTTACGTGTGGTCCTGATATACTGAGTGAGCGCCCCCTCTGCTCTTGCCAGGCTCATCTCATGTGTAACAGACAGCGCTTTGGAGAACTAAATGACCAGCAAAGGAATGAGGCCTACGTCAAGGCCTTGAAAGCAGTGAGTACTTCAGAATATTTCACAACAGCAGTAGTTAATGTTGGAATCAATATACAAAGTCGCTAAGTTAGAGTAACTTGACATGAATGGAAAGCATTATGATTGATTATCTCAAAGTACAAAAATGAGTTTTGTGGAAGGAAACTAATTTGGGAGAGACCTTGAGAGAAGGAACTGTTAATCATTTTAAAATATATAAGGTTAAGAAACAACACAGAAGAAGTAGAAATTGGAGAAGGTATAGCTGTCAATAATCATCATGTGAGCTAAATTGCAAACCAATAATAAAATACTTCATAACATCAATTTAATATTATTACAATGCACTTAGGGGTGAATGCATTCCTGTTCTTGTCCCACTGTATTGGAACGTGTGTGATTTGATATCTAATTTATTTTAGAGTTTGGATTTTGAACTAATGATCTATGGGTTTTGGTTTCTGTGGATGAAGGGGTTTATTGTTTGGCTTGTCAGTATTTCTGGTGCCGTGATTTTCTTTTAAATCGATCTGAGCGAATTCCTGGAATGGTGATGATGGGATTTTGTTTGAATTATGAGTTTTACAATCTGACAGCAAACATTGAAACTCATTAGCTTGCTTTCGATTCAACAGAATCAAGATTTCTTTGTTTTGTTTATGCGATAAACCCATAGTTTGGAAAGCTTTTAGTTTCAATTCATCTGAAGTCCTAATCGAAGGTTGATGGCAGAAGCAGTTTCTCCTGGAGAAAGGAGTTGTTTTAGAACAGTTAGGATATAGGCTACCTCAGTACAAGGGCTTAGTTTGTAAGTTTCAGACAAGAAGTGTTTTGTTTGAACTGTGAAGAGGAATATTTATGGCTGAGCAAGTTCAAGCTTATGTTTGTGATTAATAAAGAAAAAGGCTATCAAGCTTCCAAGACTGGGAATTGGAAAGAACAGTTATGTTGTACTTATAGCTGTAATAGAGAAGGGAGCTCTCTCTGAGTACTGTAAAGTGATGATTTGAAATGGATAGGATTGTATTTTATCTTTCAAATTGTGTTATATGCCAGTAGCTTGGTTTATTCTACTTTATCTTCATTTTTTTTGTGTAATAAGGTTCTGTTCTTTTTGTTAAAACTAAATCTGCAACATCCCATGCTGGTGTCTCAGTGAAAGACCACCTTGGTAAATGAAAACAAAAATATGATCTATCAAGCCAGATTTCAGACTGGAATATGACTTATGCCAATTATATATGTAATGTATACATATTAGATGATACGCAGCTTAGTAACAGAAACAAGTCAGCCATGTTCCTTAAATTAACAAATAAAGAGTTTGTTTATTGCAAACGTTAAAATGAGTGAAGTAAAGGTAACAAACAAAGGTTTAAAATGTGCAAACATGTCCAACCACCCATCTTATACACAAAACCATTCCAAGTCCAGAAGAAAATAGTAAAACTTCAGAGTGTTATCTTAAAAAATACTTTGTCTAAGTGATGGTTCCATTCAAAAAAATGAATTATTCCCGGATTGTTCAAATGCTGCTGTCTGGTCAAAATCATTTTCCACACAAGCTACTGGCACTGAGGTTTTCTCATTGATAAATTTGGCTGGTTGAATTTTCTTTTTTTGCTGACAGCAGTGTAGATTTAGAATTCTCCATTAGAAATCTACCACATGTAGCGATTGAGGTTTTCTGATATTTTGTCAACTTTCACGCTTCAATAGAAGGGGTGTTAGAGAAAGTGAGAGAGGACAAAGGCTGTTTTACCTATAGCAAGTTCTCTCCATGTTGAAACCCAATATATTCTTGCACCCACATCAGCAGTGCAATCTTTCTCTTGGAATGTAATGTAGATTCAATGATTCCAGTCAAGCAGCCTTTTTTTCAAAAAAAAAAAAAAAATTCCTACACGGTTGCAGATGTTGGCTGGGCCAGTGTTTATTCCCCATCCGTAATTGCTCCTGAGGTGGTTGTGAGGTGCCTTCTTGAACTGCTGCAGTCCATGTACTGTAGGTACACCCATAATGCCATTGGGAAGGGAATTCCAGAACTATGACCCACTGGCATTAAAGGAATGGTGATGTATTTCCAAATTAGAATGGGGAGTGACTTGGAGAGAAATGCGCTGGTGGTGCTGTTCCCATGCATCTCCTGTCATCCTATATGGGAGTGGTTGTGGATTTGGAAGAGGCTGTCTCAGGAGCCTTAGTGAATTTCTGTAGTGCATCATGTAGATGATACATGCTGCTAGAATTAAGACTAGACCATTCAGGAGAGTTGTTAGGAAGCAATTTTCATACACAAGGCGGTAGAGGTTTGGACCACTCTTCCACAGACAACAATTAATCCTAGATCACTTCTTAGTTTTAGATCTGAGATACACTTTTGCTCAGCAAAGAGGTGTATTGAAGTTAGGCTACAGATCAGCCATGATCCCATTAAATGGTGGATCAAGCTTGAGGGGCTGAATGGCCTACTCCTGTTCCTGTGCAGCTACTGACTGTGGGTGGTGGAGAGTGTGGATGTGGTCCCAATTAAGTGGGCTGGATTGTATCAGGCTTCTTGAATTTTGGTGGAGCTCCACTCATGCAGTCAAATGGGCAATCTTCTATCACACTCCTAGCTTGAGGGCAAGGTTTTGGGAGTAGGCTTTGGGAAGTCAAGAGGCAAGTTGAACACTACAGGAATTCGATCCTCTGACCTGCTCTTTTAGCCACTTCTTTTAATCTGGCTAATGCAGTTCAGTTTGTGGTCAATGGTAATCTCCAGAATGTTGATTGGGTGTGATTTGGTGATTTTTTTTTTCAAGACCTTCAATATATACAAATGTCTAGCCAATGATATTATCAGTATTTCAGATAACACTTCATAAAAATATTATAATATTCAACATTATTAACAGAAGAAAATTGAGTTAGAGTGGAAAGTGTAACTGGCACTTTGATAGTAAGGGGTTAAAGGGATAATTAAAGGTTGCCCTGAGAAGACAGTATGTAGCTGTGACCTCATTGAAACATGCTGGACAGGGAAACTTTGAAGATGATGTCTAGAGTGTACACTGAAGCATAGATCTGGATCGCTCCTGTTTTCTTTATAGAGGCAAATGAGGTGGTTTTCAGAGTCACTTAGTAAAATTTAGCAATTTTCTTTTGTGGGCTGTAGGGATGTAGAAGGAATTTATTCTTCCCCGTCTGAGCCCTTGCTAAGCCATCCAGCTTTTCTAATGTGGCTGCAGCAGGTAACTTTTTTTTGAAGGCTCCTATTGAGATTTTCTTGAGGGCTACTTTTTGATATTAATTTTTTGGTTTTCGAGACTTACATTTTCATTCTTTGGGTTCCTTTGTTAGGTGATGCAGACACGCAGTAATATTATCTTTTGTATTTGTATTGACGTATGGGTTATTTGCACATGCACAGAAGTAGAGTTAGAAGAATTCATCAATATTCTCAATAATTATTAACTATCCATTAAGTTTGAAGTCACGATACGCAAGGAAAATATATGTTTCCACAGTATTAAATTAGCACAAGACCACAGGCGACAAAAATTGTTTTTCAAAATAACCGATACACAATTCAGCCAACAAAAAAAAAATCACCTGAAGTACATCTTTTAGGTGGTAAGGTCAAAGCTATGCATTTCCATTGAATATTCACAAGGCTGGAATATTTTAAGCAGGTGTTACTATCCTTTTTACTGCAGAGTGGATCTCAATCTCAGACTTGAATTTAACAACTGACACAGCATTCATCATAATAGCACCCCTACGTTTTCCCCATTTCATAGCAGCTGAGCATATGCAGCATTAAGCTAGAAATCCACGTTATTTCAAGTAATAAAATAACTAATTAATTTAAGGTTTCTTGGTTCCTAGTGAAGTGGTTCTTTGTTAACAGGTTTGAGACTGTTCCTTTTTTTTGCAGCCTCCATTTCTTTGCCACACTATAAAGCTTCCCCCTCTCACTCTTTTACATCCACCATGTTTCTTCCATTCCCTTTGTAGACTCCCTTTCTTCCCCAGCATCTTCGCAGCTTCCTACTCTTTCCTGTACCCTTTGGAACTTCCCTTTTCACCATCCTCTTTTCAGTCGTCTTCTCTATCACCAACCCTTTGAAATCTTACTCTCTCCTTCCCCCAGCCCCTCCCTGTCTCTAACCCCTAGCTTAACAGCCTCCATGTCTTGCACCCAATGTCTGGCAGCTTCCCCGGGTCTCCCATCCCAGCCTAGTTGCTTCCTTGTCTTCTTACTTCTGTTGCAGCCTCCCTGTCTTGCACCCCATGCTTTGTAGCCTCCCTCTCCTGCCACCTCACCATGAAGGATGTACCCATCTCTGGCTCCGTGTGTCAAAGTGACAGCTGGCCAATGACTTCTTGCAGTTGGTCATTGTCGTACTGCAGATCAACCCTGGTTATCCCCTCAATTTACACTGCTTGCTGCACCTCTCCCAATTTTAGTTCTGATAGTTTCATCAGCAGTAAACATGGTGGAGAACCAGCGCGTGATTGGTTGAAAAGGTGCTCTCTCTTCCCTTCCAATCTTTTCAAGGAGTGGCTTTTCTTCTATTGATTGCCCCGTGAGTGAATTTTTCCAAGCAATTTGTAGACTTTAATGTCCACAGCCCCTGTGTATTTTGAGTGCTGGGCTGCATGTGTGACAGGGGACGTTGTGCTTGATTTTGTAACAGTTTACAGGTGTATCGCGCCTTTAATGTTGCATAGCATGAGGGGAATGATCCTTCACATTGGTTTCTTCGAGGAAAATATTCAAAGAGCTCTTGATATTCCATGCTTCCCTTCCATTATAAGGGAATGTTTAGTCAATATAGTGAACTGCTCACTTTGTTGACTGAATTTAACAGAACAATTAAGCGTAGGATATGAATTAGATGAATGCATTTTAGGGCAGGGGATCTGAATGCCATAATTAGTGTCAGCTGTGAAAGGACCCATCAGGGCCTCTTTTTACTATGGGAATGTGATGTTTACAGATTTACTGGTGTCTCTTCTCTCCTTCTACAGGTTGTGAGACCAGATAGCGTGTGTGTAACCATTAGTGATGGAAGTCTGCTGTCTCTCTTTGGTTATTTACTGGGTGCTGCACAGGTATGGGCATTTTAGAGAGAGGCTAGAGGTTGAATTTGTCGGTATGATTTGACTGGCAGTAATTGTTTCTTTCCTTCTCCCTGCCAAACATTCCCTCTTTTCTCCTCTTCCAAGTAGAATTAACACTTGACCCTTTTTGAGAGAATCCTTCTGATAACCTAGCTGTTATTTTTATGTGAATGAAAATGGTGAACATAGGCTATTTGTTCATAGAAGTAGCGTGGGGGATTGGATCTTGTTCTTGCAAGCGTTTCCAATAAATATTAATTGCTTATGGTTTTTGGCAGGAACCCTGGCTGATTTCCTTTCCTGGAGTTATGAGACTCTTACCCTGACTGCCATTAGCTAACGAAATACTTACAGCATTGAACCTGGGACCTTTTGGAGCCTGTATACCTCACTACTCAATGTTTTAGTCAGCTGAACCATTTGATGCTCAGTTTGATAGGGTTTCGTCGAAGTTTGTTCATTGCGGTGTAGTGCTGAAACTAGGATTTCTCACTTAATGTCTTTTGATGTGCACTTGAAAGTGAAGCTTCAAAATAAATAACATGAAGTAAGTCAGATTTTCTCACAATGTATAAGCTGGAGGTAGACTCTTTAGGACATTTGTCATCAGGAAAAAAGTTATCTGTACACTCCTAAATGAAATGATGTTTAAAGTGAAATATATTCATAAATAAATGGTGTTGGTGCTAAATTGTTCATGGTTGTCGTGGTGGACTAGAATGGCTTGCTGAAAAGGGCTCTTGACTCCCCTGTCTTTTATATTGTATCAGCTCTGACAGACACAAGAAAGTTATGAAAAATTGACTTGACCACAGGGCCCAGGGCACCTGATGGTGACTTGAGATGGTGAACAGGCTGTGAGAACTGTGGAGGGCTGTAGTGTCTGCTGACTGCACTTTATCCTGGCTGATGGAAAACAGAGACTGCTTTACAACTAATAGATCTGTCAAGCTGCAGCAGATCTGCTCTAAGCACCCATTGATGGCAGCTGAGCTGAAAGAGCGATGAAGGACACTAGAACCAATTAGGTTGAACACCGGAACTCTGTTTGGGAGACATGTTAACCATCAGGTTGGACTGGTGAAAATTGTAGCAATTGAGATTACCATCTGCAGGTACTTTGTGAGCTTATTAGTCAAGATAAACCTCAAATCTTCAGCTTGTGATGTTTAAGCCGTGGAATAGGAACTCTGGCAAATTATGTTATAGTGTAGGTCATGGTAGTAGATTGATATGTGTCATTCCTCATTTTTATCAGTGACTTATTGGTGAAACATTGATTCAGTCAATATTGTCTTGTTATAACAATGTGAAGTGAGGAATTCAAAATCTGTTGCTTCACCCCTGGATCCTGGGTTACAGTAAGTAAGCAGTGGGATATAGATGGGCTGGAAATGAGGTACTTTACTGGTGCAAGTTTAGGCCTATCATAGAGAAGACAGGGAAGGAAAGGAACTACTATCAGCACCCAATTTATGCTGCACTTGTTTGGAAACACTTCGCAAGAGGGAAAAAGCTTAGTTTTTGATGCTTCCAATGAACACAGCACTCGACAGAAACAGGCCATTAAGATTGAGCTGCCTCATAGTTGTTTGCTCCCAGTTATTTTGGAAAACTAAGGAGAGGGTGTGGTTTCGTGTTCAGTTACTGTAAGAAACCAGTGCAGCCTATAATGGTCACCAAATAGTTGAGCCAGATATTTATCTACATTGGGTAGTGATACTAACATTTGTCCAATACTCCACATTGTTAGTGGGATTTCTCTAATAAATAGTGGAACTTAATAACCCTAATTACTTGCAATGTGGTGGAGTGCAGTTAGTGTGTCTGCTTCCTTTTTCAACTGATCTTTTGCCTCAATATGCCTCTTTATGAAGTTATTCTGGTATTTCTCATGTATTGCAAGCCTTGTGCTAAACTGGATGATGTATGGTTGTGACTGTAAAATTTACCAGACCATAATCTCATTTACTATAATCATGCGGGTATATCAAAACTGATTTGCTAACTTGTTACTTGATGAATTTGTTGTTTTGTAGGTTTATAGTCTGGAGATTTCTGCCATGTCCAGACGAGTAATGGAGAAGGTGAGTTTGTACTTAGAGCTGACATTTGTGACAAAGTAGGCTGAATTTCAGAGGTGAAATTATAGTCACCCCTCGCACAAAGGAAGATGGATGTAGTTGCTTGAGGCCAATAAGCTCAGCCCCACAATATTGTTGCAGGAGTTCAAGGCATAGTCCTAGACTTAACTACCTTCAGCTGCTGCTTCAGTGGGATTACCTCCATCATAAAGTAAGAATTTTAGTTCTAATGATTGCAGAGTGTTCAGTCCTATCCCTTAGACCTTAGCTAATTAAGCAGTCTGTGCATGCTTGCAGAAAAACCTGGAAAAATGTGCAAGCTTGAGCTGATGTATGAAATAATACATGTGCCACACAAGTTCCAGTTAGTGTCTGTCTCCAGCAACTCTCCCCTTGCCATTCAATCGCAATGCCCTTTTATATTTTTTACAATTAACATGCTTAAACTTACTATTGATCATAAACTTTACTGGACAAACTAAATACTGTACTGTAGCTTACAAAAAGAGGTAAAAATGACCCAGAGTTTCCAGTCACCTGCAACTTCAACACAGCACTATATTCCCACAACATTTCTATTGTAGGCCTGCAGCAGTGTTCCATTGAGCCTCAGCTACAGCATCCCGTTTTCCACTTGCAGACCCTGCTCCCTCTGGGACGTGACATGAGTTCAAAAACTTCCTTGTTCTATCTTTACATGTCTTTTACCCACCCCCAAAACCAGTCCTGTTTGACATGGGTTGCTTTTAGCTCAGTCACCCATTCTGAGGCCTGACATTGCATTACATGATTTGCTTTCGGCACAGACTACCTATTCTTTGCTACCCTGAGCTTTCATTGTTACTTATTCCTTGTTTTTGTTCCTGATTTACAGCATCCGCAGTTCTTTTGGTTTCTGCTTTATCCTGACCTGCCATTCATAATCCTACTGTTTATATAACCCTTTCATACCTCGGTTTCTGTACCCACTGATCTGCTCATCGCTCCCATTTCTTCCCTTTCTCCCCACCCGTACCCAACTGCATCTTCAGTATAAATATAAGTTTTTCCTAGCTGCTGTCAATTCTGATGAAGAGTCACTGGACTCTCAACATTACTGCTTTTTTCCCATAGATGCTGCCAGACCTGCTGCGTTTTTCCAGCAATTTCTATCTTTTGTTATGAATTTATAAATCTATTTGCATGATTAATTCATCCATTTCATTTCAAATGCTTTGTGCATTCAGGCACAAAGTCTTCAGGTTTATCTTTTTAATTATACCTTTCCTTATTCCCACATTTGTTTTTACTGTAGCCTTGTTTGATTCTGGCCTTTGTTTCCCCTGCCTATCACTTTTCTTATTCCCCTTTCTTATTCCCCTTTCTGTCATTTGTTACTGTTCTTGATTCCCCTTCCTCTGAATCCTTGCATAAGTTCCCATCCTCCTGTCAATTTAGTTTAAACCCTCCCCAACCACCCAACCACTCTAGCAAATGCTCTCTCCCAGGCACCATACCGGTCCTGTCCCTATTCCTGCTACTGTTTCTTATGAAGTGCCGCTGGGCTCGGGTAATCGTCTCATCTCTAAGTCAGAAGTTTGTGCATTCAATCCCTGCCCCTGAATTGAGCATGCTAATTGAGTGTAACTGATGTGGTGCTGTATCTTCAAAGGTGCCATCTTGGAGATGCGATCACAACAATTTGTATTTATAGTTCTTTAATAAAATGCCCCAGGTGCTTTACAGAGAAGTTATAAAGCATTTTCTTCCTCAACTATATGAGGTACTATTAGGGCACCTAGCCATAAGCTTAGTGAGGTAAGTTTTAAGGTGCATCTTGAAGGAGGAAATAGAAAGTGGTTTAGGATGGCATTTCCAGAACATAGGTTACAGGTATGACATGGCCACCACTAGATCAGAGATGCTCAAGAAGCTAGAATTAGATGAATAGAGATATTTTGGAAGGTTGTTTCGATGGAGAGGTTTACAGAGGGTGAGGGACATGTCCATAGAAGTATTTTAAAACAAGGATAAGAATTTTAAAATCGAAGCTTAACTTGGTATTAGTGAGGATAAAGACTAGTGCTATAATACTTTTCAATAAAAGTAGTTAATCATCAACCAGTTTCACGGAAATGTACCTGCTAGCTGTTCATCCTTGCTGTTTATAGGATCTTTCTTGATGAATACTTTGCTTTGGTATTCACCAGTGAGAGGGACCTTGTAGTTTGTGAGGACAGCGTGAAACAGGCTGATATGCTCGAACAGGTTGATGTTAGGAAGGAGGAGTGCTAGAAATTTTGAAAAACATGAGTCCTCTGGGCCAGACAGGATATGCCCAAGGTTACTATGGGAAGCGAGGGAAGAAATTGCAGTGCCTTTGTCAATGATCTTTGTCTATGGTAGGTTCAAGAAAGGGAATAGGGATAATCCTGGGAATTACAGACCAGTCAGTCTTACTTCTGTGATGGGCAAATTATTGGAGAGGATTCTGAGACATAGTATTTATGATTATTTGGAAAAGCACAGTTTGATTAGAAATAATCAGCATGGCTTTGTGAGGCGCAAGTCATGTCTCACAAGCCTTATTGAATTCTTTGAGCTTGTGACAAAATACATTGAAGGTAGAGCGTGGATGTGGGTTTTTGGATTTTGGCAAGGCGTTTGATAAGGTTTCCTATGGTAGGCTCATTCAGAAAGTAAGGACGCATGGGATCCAGGCAAATTGGCTATCTGGATACAGAATTGGCTGCCCAATAGAAGACAGAGGGTGGTAGTAGATGGAAAGTATTCAGCCTAGAGCTCGGTGAACAGTGGTGTTCCGCAGGGATCTATTCTGGGACCTTTGCTCTTTGTGATCTTTATAAATGACTTGGATGAGACAGTGGAAGGGTGGGTTAGTAAGTTTGCCAATGACACGAAGGTTGGTGGAGTTGTGAATAGTGTGGAGAGCTGTTGTAGGTTGCAACGGTACATTGACAGAACGCAGAGCTGGGCAAAGAAGTGCCAGATGGAATTCAACCCGGAAAAGCGTGAAGTGATTCATTTTGGAAGGTCGAATTTGAATGCAGAATACAGGGTTAATGGCAGGATTGTTGGCAGTGTGGAGGAACAGAGGGATCTTGGGGTCCATGTCCATAGATCCCTCAAAGTTGCCACCCAAATTGACAGGGTTGTTAAGAAGGTGTATGGTATGTTGGGTTTCTTTGGCAGGGGAATTGAGTTTAAGAGCCGTGAGGTTATGCTGCAGCTCTATAAAACCCTGGTTAGACCATACTTGGAATATTTCATGTTCAGTCCTGGTCACCTCATTATAGAAAGGTTGTGGAAGCTTTAAGAGAAGGTGCAGAGAAGATTTACCAGGATGCTGCCTGGACTGGAGGGGTAGGTCTTATGAGGAAAGGTTGAGGGAGCTAGGGCTTTTCTCATTGGAGCAAAGAAGGATGAGAGGTGACTTGATAGAGGTGTACAAGATGAGGAGAGGCATAGATAAAGTGGATAGCCAGAGACTTTTTCCCAGGATGGAAATGACTTATGAGGGGGCGTAATTTTAAGGTGATTGGAGGAAGGTAGATTCTTTACACAGAGAGTGGTGGGTGCGTGGAATGCACTGCCAGCGGTGGTAGTGGAGCCAGATACATTAGAGACATTTAAGTGACTCTTGGATAGGCACATGGATGATAGTAAAATGTAGGGTATGCAGAGTAGTTTGATCTTAGACTGGGATAATAGGTCGGCGCAACATCATGGGCCGAAGGGCCTGTACTGTTCTGTGTTCTATGTTTCTGTTAGATAGTGAGCCTATAGGGTACTAACTATACTGCAAAAGTAATCCAGCAGTGTTGTTTTCTGAGGACATCATAAAGTGTTTTGTAAATGACGACAGTTCTTTCTTGCCAGTTGTGATGTGACCAGGTTCAGACTGCTAAACCTTTTATTAACATTCCCCAGATTTTAGCAGCTAATGGGCTGACTGGAAAGGTGATAATTTCTGAGAGACGTCCAGAGCAGCTAACGTCTATGGATTTGGGCAACAACCAGGTAGGACTTTGTGCTTGGATAAGGAATGGGCTAAATTTAATTTGACCATGAATCCTGTGGTTCTATCATCTGTATTCCTAGTCCATTCAATTAGTGTTTAAGCTCCAAATCCACAGCATTTCTGGAACTCTCCAGACCAGAGAAGGTGGGGCCCTGTTAATCTATTTGTCCTATTTTGGAGGTTTCTAGTGCAGCGTTTTGAGTGCTTAATGTGTTGGCTGTCTTTCCATGTGACGTATTTAAGTAACTGCCGTATCTATTATCAATATCATGTTTAAGCATTCATTTAACTCTTGTCAGTCATGGAGTCATACAGCATGGAAACAGACTCTTTGGTCTGTCCAATCCATGCTGACCATAATCCCAAACTAAACTAGTTTCACCTGTCTGCTTTTGGCCGGTATCCCTCCAAACATTTTTTGTTCTAAAAAACATTTTCAAATGTCTTTTAAACATTGTAACTGTACCTGCATCCACCTCTTCTTCTGGAAGTTCATTCCACACACCAACCACATTCTGTGTTTAAAGACAAAGTTACCCAATGTCTTTTAATTCTTTTCACCTCTCACCTTAAAAATACACCCCCCTCCCCCACCCCATGTCCGCAGTTTTGAAATCCCCCGCTCTTGGGAAAAGACATCTGCAATTCTTCTTATCTATACCTGTCATGATGTTATAAACCTCTATAAGGTCACCCCTCAACCTCATACACTCCAGTGAAAAATGTCCCAGCCTATCCAGCCTCTCCTTGTAACTCAAACCCTCCATTCCTGGCAAAATCTTTTCTGAAACCTCACCAGCTTAATGTTGTAACAGGTTGTAAACACAGATAGAGGATTGATAGAGGTGTATGGAGAGAATTTCAGAACTTCAACCTAGGTAACTGAAGGCACAGCGACCAATCGTGGAGCTATTTAAAAACGGAAGCTCAATATTTGATTTGATTTATTTATTATCACATGTACTTATTACATATATTTATGACAAATACAGTGAAAAGTGTTGTATAATGTTGCTACTCCCTGGCACCACCTTAAAACACCAAAAATAAACCATAACATGGAATATGAAGGTAGAAAAGAAGGGAATAAAGTTGAGAGTTCAACTTTACAGTCATTCTTATTAAATGCTAAGCTGTGAGCCTGGATCTGGGCTCTTTCAAACTGATGTTGAGACCAACACCAGCATTTGGTTCCTGACCAATACTGACGCATGCATGACCACAGGTTTGAGTGGAGCTTAGAGACCTATTAAAACACTCTTATTGCCGTCCCAGTACAGTGCCAGGTGATATGCTGTCTGCCCTTGAGGACACTGTGGGAGCTTTTGGTTACTTTTTCATGCAAGTCTATAATTGACAAGATGGACAAGGATAAAAACGTTCTACCACTGGACACCTATTACATGCTCACTGTTGGAGGTAAATACATATTGGCTCTGTCACAGCATAGTTTCACCCTGCAGAAGATTTAACAAGGCTATTCGGCAACATTGCTCTCACTGTCCCAGCAAGTAACCCAGCTGGCCCCATGTAACTCACTGATGGAATCTACTGCCCTTTCTCGCACTACCCTCACCCCCTGCCCAAGATGTCAGTGGTCAATCCACTGTTTCCCCTGCTCTTCCACCTCCAGAGATCCCCTCTCAGAATAGGATTTTCACTAGTTTTACAAAAATACACAGCATTTAAAATATTAGAGAAAAATACTTTATACAAAAAAAAACCTGTCTTCTGCTGCTTGAAAGTAATCATCGTAATTCTAGCTATATCCCTATTTGCAGATCCTGTTTCAAAGATCACATGCAGGGAGCATGGTAATCTGTGGTCTCAAGGGTGGAAACAAGTTGAGAGAGAGAGACACCAGTGGACTGGTCTGGTGAACAATGGAAGGTCAAAAACTGATGCAAAACTCAAATGAGACAATTGTGTGCTTTTAGCTTCTGAAATTCGCTGAATCAAGCAACAGATCAAATACAAACACTGCCCTCCATGAATTCCAGTCACACAGATAAATGTAAACAGCTAAATGAAAGTGGGTCTTGTGTCTCGTGATGATGAGAATACAGACTATATTTGCACAGAGCAATGGACAGACTGAATCTGGAATACTGTGAATATCTGGTTTCTGTCTCCGTACGATCACATTTATATTGAATCAGTTGCAATGCAGATCTGTCAGAATGATACCAAAAAGTTAAATTGAGGACAAGTTGCACAGGGGAGACTCACATTCCCTGAGTATAGAGGATAAAGGAAGACTTAATTCAAGTGTTTAAAACAGTTATAGGATTTAAGTGTTAACAGTAAAAGTACTAGAGTCTAGAACAAAGGAGCATAAACATAGACCACACAAGGGTGATGTCAGGAAACACTTCTTCACAAAAAGATTAGTGGAAATCTATCCGCCAAATGTTTTGAGAGGTAAAAATTAGATGACTGCAAATATATTGAAGGGTGTGGTGCTGAAAAAGATTAGAGATAGCGAGAGAGAGAGAGATTTGAAAACATGAAAATTTTAAAATAATGGCATTTCTTGTCCACAAGTCACTCTCAATTAGGAAGATGAATGCGTAGTACTTGCTGTGATGCGTGACGTGGGCAACAGAGTTCTAGATGATGGTATGTACATATGGTAGAAGGTGGGATACCAGCCAGGAATGTGTTTTAGTTGTTAGGTTTTCAGGTAACAAAGGCAGCAACAGACAAACTCAGTGTGTGTTTGTGGGGGTGGGGAAGTCGGGTGGTAGTATACGTGGCTAGAAGCTCATCTCGGATTGGTGAATGGGCTGTCTTATTTGCAGACTTTTGCCAGGCGAGAAGGACGGAATCGGAGTTTAAGGAATTAACTTTGGAATGTGAGTGAATTTCTGCTTATCCACTACTGGATGTCATTCAAGAAGTCTGATAATAACAATGGAGAAATTGAGAGATGTGCTGGTGAAGTAGAGTTGAGTGTCATCAGCAAACTTGTGAAAACTAAAGCTATACCTTTAAACAATTTCACCAAGTGGCAGCACGTAAATCTCAGGTTTTGGAGTAGATTTGTAGCTCGGGTTGTGGGTGTTGTGGTTGGTTGGCTCGCCGAGCTGGTTTGTTGTTCCGCAGACGTTTCGTTACCCTGCTGGGTAACATCATCACTGCAGCCTCCGATGAAGCTCCGTTGTGTTTTCCCGCCTGGTTTTTAAACTGTAGAGTCAGTTGAGCTGGATTACTCCTTCGTAGGAAGGAAAACCGGAAGTGAGGTAATCCAACTCAACGGACTCCAGAGTTTAAAAACCAGGCAGGAAAACACAACGGCGCTTCATCGGAGGCTGCACTGATGATGTTACCCAGCATGGTAACGAAACGTCTGTGAAATTACGAACCAGCTCGGCGAGCCAACCAACCACAGCACATAATCCTAAATATGACAGGTCAATAATTAGGAGTCACCAAAACCAGAAGAATCATAGAGGAAGCTTAGCGAGT